TTTCTCTATCTAAATAAATCACTTTCTGCAAACTCTGTTTGGGTTCCAGTATTTACGAGGGTCCGTGGTCTCCTCTCCCATTCTTGAGAGAGTGATAGATGGAGAACCTGAAGAAACATCTTCTCAGGGATGCTAAGGGCTCCCCTGAACCCCTGAACCCCAACAAAACTACCCCTCACAATACCTCTCAGAACACTGTAAAGCAAAAGTATGCACAAGACCAAAAGGCACGGTTTATTAAAATCTGATCAAAATCAGCCAGGTGCATTGGCTTATGCCTGTAATCCCAGCACTTTGGGAGGCCAAGGTGGGTGGATCACCTGAGGTCAGGAGTTCTAGACCAGCCTGGCCAACATAATTCCATCTCTACTAAAAACACAAAAATTAGCCGGGTGTGGTGGCAGATACCTGGGAGGCTGAGGCAGGAGAATCGTTTGAACCACGGAGGCAGAGGTTGCAGTGAGCCAAGATCGTGCCATTGCACTCCAGCCTGGTGGACAGCTGTGAGACTGAGTCTTAAAAAATAAATACAGCCGGGCGCAGTGGCTCACACCTGTAATCCCAGCATTTTGGGAGTCCATGGCAGGCGGATCACGAGGTCAGGAGATCAACACCAGGCTGGCCAATATGGCAAAATCCCATCTCTACTAAAAATACAAAAATTAGGCATGGTGGTGGACACCTGTAATCCCAGCTACTTGGGAGACTGAGGCAGGAAAATCGCTTGAACCCAGGAGGTGGAGGTTGAGGCAGGAGAATCACTTGAACCCAGGAGGTGGAGGTTGCAGGGAGCCAGCATCATGCCATTGCACTCCAGCCTGGGCAACAGAGCGAGATTCCATCTCAAAAATAATATTAATTAAACAAATAAAATAAAATCAGATCAAAATCAATTGTAGATTCTGAATGGAGGCCTCTGCTATAAGATTCTTCAAGTATAGACTCCAGCATATAATCTGGCTACCCCTTCTGGCTTTGGGCTCCACTTCTCTCTATGGGAGAAGGGTTCCCATAATGTGTGGCTGTGACCAAGGCGAGGAGTGGAACATTTCAGCAGCACTGAAGAGGAAACACAAACACTGAAGTGACAGTCTAAAGGACACGAGAAATACTGCACAGCAGGAACCGAAAAGAGCAAGATAAATTCTAAAATGAGTAAACCTTTGGATTTCTTATACTGAGCAGGACAGGGAAGTTAGAAAAGAGAAAGAAACTGCTGGCAGATAAATATGGCCACAGAGAAGTTCCAGAGGCAATAAAGGGAAAATGTGTGATCGATAGAAACTGAGGCAGTGTTAACCGGCGACAGTCTTCAGGATGAGGAAAACTGTAACATAGCTGACAGTAAAACAAAAGACATCAAGATACACAATGCTTCTCTAATTCCCCATTTTAAAAGTACATGAAGGAGGTTCTCCAGCAAATACGTAGGATGAACAAGCTAAAAAAATCTAATGTACAACACAGGACTATAGTTAATAAATAGTACACTGTATTCAAGATCTTTGCTAAGTTATAGCTACTCTTGCCCCATAAGAAAAAAAATGGATAACTATGTGAGATGATAGACATCTTCATTTGTTCTTCTCTAGTAACAATTTCACTATCTTATAACATCATGTTGTATACCTTACATATACACAGTAAAATTTACTTTAAAACAAAAGCAAAAAGGACACAAAGGAGTTTCTGAAAGTCACTAATCAAAAGCATCTCCATTACAGGAGTCATTTTTGGGTGATGTTCTGAGAACCAGATAATGTTAATATTAAACCATCTAACACAGTTGAACAAAAGAGTTGTTTTTGTGCAAACACAGGCATCCTAGATCAAAGGAACTGAATGGAAAGCCCAAAAACAGTGTTGTTATTTTAATGAACTTATTTGATAAAAGAGGTATCATATATAAATTCCTTCCTGCATGGACCTAGCAAATGGAATAGTGGGTTAGCAATTTTAGGGCTGGTGTGAGACAGGAATCTAAACTAACTTCAGCTGGGTTGAATTCAGGGCTTTTGTTTATTTCTATGATTTGATTTTTTAAAAACTAATAGATGTTAAAAACTACTTGCAATGCCTTCATGACATCCCAAAGGTAAAGCCACTACCAGCCTACTAAAGCCGCTGAGAGCTCAGAGAAGCACAGGTGTCAGTGTGCACTCTTCGTGGGTCATACTGGTCCCATTGGTCAGTGAGACCTGTCCTCGTCTGTGAGGCCTGCACCCATCTGTGGTATGTGTGGCATGCTAGCTCCCAATGGGAAAAGCAGTGCCTCTTCTGGTCAACTCCAATCTCCAGCCCCATGGCCCAGGCCTTTTCCATCCCCTGGACTGTGGTCTCCTACTACAGCCCAAGCTCAGTTCCTGCTAACACCCAGGGAGGAGCAGGATTGAACAATAATGGCAATAACTTGCTCACCATAAAAGTAATTAAAAAAAAAATCACATAAACAGATTATCTTCCAACGAGTACTGTACAAAAAGGGAGGGGGGGAAAAGGGTAACTTTACTGTGGAAAAACCCAACAAACGCTACCTTGTGCCAAGTGACCACGTTCAACATCGGTAGTGCTAAGTCACACTGGTATCGTAGACCTTTGCTATGATGTGACAAGAATAGCCCTTTCCATCTGAGGTCTTCCTCCCGAAAACACACGACCACAGTCAAATCATGAGAGGGGGAAAACAGACCAATCTCAACTGAGTGCCATTCTACAAAATAACAGACAGTAGTCCTCAAAACTATCAAGGTCACCAAAAACAAGGAGGGTCTGAGAGACTGTCACAGCCAAGAGGACCCTACAGAGGTGGAAAAACGAAATAAATCGGGATACTGTATGAACTGTAGTTAACAATAACGTATCCATATTGGGTCATTAATTGTGACAAATGTACCACGCTAACTTAGGATATTAATAATAGGGAAAACCAGGTGTGCACTACACAGGAACACGCTCTACTACCTCCTCAATAATTCTGGAAGTCTGAAACTGCTCCTAATTAATCGGTTAATCCCAATCACAATTACTTTTTGTAAAAAATCATATAAACATTAAACTTCTGGACAAAATAAAAAAGTATAATTCTAACATAAAGAAAAATTGTGGTCTGGGGAAAGTGTCTATATGAAATATAACAAAAGATTAGGGTGTATATATAAAGTCCATAAGTATGCCAAGAGAAACATTCAGAAAAAAGCTATGAGACGAAAACTAGAAGTCATACAAAAGATGCAATGTAGCTTTTCAATCATTTTTAAAAATACTAAAACAGGCATCATTTAAGCTGTAAAACTGTTTTTTTCTTTTCTTTTTTTAAAGTACTTTTTTTTTTGAGACGGAGTCTCACTCTGTCGCCAGGCTGGTGTGCAGTAGCACGATCTCAGCCCACTGCAACCTCTGTCTCCTGGATTCAAGCGATTCTCCTGCCTCAACTTCCCAAATAGCTGGGACTACAGGCGTGTGCCACCATTCCCAGCTAATTTTTGTATTTTTAGTAGAGACGGGTTTCAACATATTGGTCAGGATGGTCTCGATCTCTTGACCTCGTGATCCGCCCGCCTCAGTCTCCCAAAATGCTGATTAATCCGTGAGCCACCACGCCTGGATGCAAAACTGTTTTTCAAATAATACCCAGTGATGATAATGCGATAGTTTAAACCACTTTACTTACACAGCATTGGTAGCCAAGTAAATTGATAATACTCTTGTGGAAATACTGTAAAACAAACTGTACTCCCAGCGCCCACCTGTACATGCACATGCTAAAGCTCAAACCCCCAATGTGATGGAGATTAAAGATGGGGCCTTTGCGAGACAATCAGATTTAAATGAGGTCAGGAGAGTGGGGTCCTCAGGATGGGATTAACACCCTTATAAGAAAGACATCAGAGAGCTTTTGCTCTCACTCTCTCGACCATGTAAAGACATCTCAAGAAGGAGGCAGTCTGCAAGCCAAGAGGAGAGCCCCCACCAGAACCCCAACCATGCTGGCACCCTTTTCTCAGACTTCCAGCCTCCAAAATGGTGAGAAAATAAATTGTTGGTGGTTAAGCCACCCAGGCTATTGTGTTTTGTTATACCAGCTTAAGTTAATTAATAAAGAAAGGCAATTAGAGACATATAAAGAACAATGAACATACTCATCTCTTTTAATTCAGTAATCCTACATTTGTAATGATAACCTTTGGAAATAATTCAAAATATGACAAAGCTATACACATGTAAAAACTTAGTTTTATGTTTTTAAGCCAGTGACACCCTAAATGTCTAACAATGGAGAACCAGATAAGTAAATTGTAATATTCCACTTCATCTAATATGATTTAGTCATTTACAATTACTACAAAAACTATATAGGCTTACAGTGAATGCTTTAATAAAATTAAGTGCAAACCAAACACAAAAATCTACAAAATGAGACTAATGATATAAATATGAACAAGTATTAAAAGAGTTAGCTATAAACAAATAATTTGTTGGACAATATTTTGTCACAAGAAATCATACTCAGAAATGTATTTAAGAGTATTATTAGATCTTTTCTTAAACATAATCACATCCCTCTTTAATTATAGAAAAGTGATTTTTTTCTGAAAGTAGCCACTGCAGTACTCTCCAAAAAATGAGAATGAGCCAGGTGCAGTAGCTCACACTTATAATCCCAGCACACTGGGAGGCCGAGGCAGGCGGATCACCTGAGGTCAGGAGTTTGAGGCCAGCCTGGCCAACATGACAGAACTCTGTCTCTACTAAAAATACATAAATTAGCCGGGTATGGCAGGCGCCTGTAATCCCAGCTACTTGGGAAGCTGAGGCAGAAGAATCACTTGAACCCGGGAGGCGGAGGTTGCAGTGAGCCGAGATTGTGCCATGCACTCCAGCCTGGGCAACAAGAGCAAAACTCCATCTCAAAGAAAAAATTGAGAATGAAATATGTACTTTTCATGTAAGACAACTATCATTTTTCTTTACTACATACTTTCTATTATGTTATTACTTACATTGAGATGGTTTCCAAGGCATCTTCAAAAATGTCCTGGGGGAAACAAAAAATACAATGAGTTTCTCAAGAATTCTAAATGGAGAAGAGAAAGTGAATACACACAATGGGAAGGGCGGTCCTGGCGGGAAGGTACAGCGGACAGTAAAATTAATCAACATAATGCTCATGGAATTCTGTTTACAGAAATCAGGCACACAAATTTCAATGAGGTTTAATTTTTTTTTTTAATAATACTGGTAAAATACTCAGCAAGTGATGAAACTGGGCGAATTCACAGAGACTATGACGTCTTTTATGAAGTTACCTTTCACCCCTGATCTCATTTGTCCCAATTATAGAGTACAATAAATAACAGCACTTGCCCGACGCAGGCTTTTCTTTCTCCATGGCTAGCCAAGTGAGCATCCTCTGGGCCTCCATTTCACATCTCATGGCACCACCCTCTCAGCTCGTCTCCCTATCACTAGCCTTTCCCCCAGTTTACTTGGTGCCACACAGAATAGCCCTTTGCTTCATGCCACACTGGCCTGATCACAGCTGCAACAGGAGAGAAACACACACACTTGTATGTACTCAGAAGTCCACACACGCACTCCACACTCAGACAGTGTCTCACACACAATCTCACAGTCACATGCACAAACACACATGCACTCACTCAAAAACTCACACATACACAACAGCTCCCTCATAGCTGCAAAAATCAACCCTAAGCTCCTCATCCGAGTATCTGGGGGCCACCGTAACCCAGCCTACTCTTCCAAGCATCCTTCTCCAATACCCCTACCACCCTCACAGTAGCCCAAACCCTGGGGACTCCGCAAGGGCCACCTCACTGGTGTCCCTACTCCTGTGCTTGACATCCTCCATTCAATTCTTTACATGGCAACCATATCATTCTTTTACTTCTTGTCTTCAAATAAGCATACACCATTCCAGTTTTCTAGGCCTCTTTGAGAGCTTTCCATTGCACTTAGAAAAATCCCAAACTCATTCTCCCTATCTAGAGAGCCCTAAAACAGCCCCGCCAGCCTCTGACCACATCCCCGCCCACCTTCCCCTTACTCATGCCACTCCAGCCACAGGTCTGTCTTTCTGTTCCTTGGACAAGTCAAACATCCCACAGCTCTTTGCACTGTCCCCTTTCTTACAATGTCCTTTGCTCAATTATTCCCATGGCTGATTCCTTCTCATCCTTTGGTTTTCAGCTTAAAAATCTACCTCCTCAAGAAGGCCATCTCTGATCACCCTAATTAAAATTACTAGGAATAGCAGCTTACAGTTCCTCACCATCTTATTTGTTTCATTCATAGCACTTATCATAATCTCTAATGATCTTCTTTGTTTACTTGGTTACCCTCTGTCTTCATCAGAGCAGGCTCTTACACGTGTACACGCACGCACACACACACACACACACACACACACACACACACACAACAGGGCTTGGTATCAAGGTTTGCTCAGTAAATACTTGCTGCCTCATGAATGAACGAATATGTACGAATGGAATGTATGAATGGAACCTGGATTGCCAAGGGGCTTACCATGTCACACCTCTTTTAGAGTTATGCACAGAAATGAAGAAAGGGGGCTAGAGATCTTTTCCTTTGTGTAGCCATTAGTACTGAACAGTGTTTGGACCATACTGGATTTTGCAGTGAGGCAGAAAAAACAGAAGTATAAACACTAAAAAGAAGAACTGGCTGGGCATGGTGGCTCATGCCCATAATCCCAGCACTTTGGGAGGCCAAGGCTGGTGGATCACCTGAGGTCAGAAGTTCAAGACCAGCCTGGCCAACATGGTGAAACCCCGTTCCTACTAAAAATACAAAAATTAGCCAGGTGTGGTGGTGCATGCCTGTAATCCCAGCTACCTGGGGAGGCTGAGGCACAAGAATCACTTGAACCCAAGAGGCAGAGGTTGCAGTGAGTCAAGATCATGCCACTGCACTCCAACCTACATGACAGAGTGAGACTCCATGTCAAAGAAAAAGAGCCAACATTGTAAACAATGGCAGAACTGAGTTTGAATTTGGGACCCTGACCTATATTAATCTACATTAATATCACACACTGTAAGGAAGGTAAAATCAAGGGCTGGCACACAGGTTATCACGTGAGTAGTTACAGAGAAGGGAGGAAAATGTGTTCTCCAGTAACCCAAATCTCACTATGAATAAGCCCAGCTCACAGTCCCTCTGGCAGCTCTGCTGACGCTCTCTGCACTTACCTTTAACAACAAAGGGGTACCTGGACAGTCCACTCCCAGAAGGTTTCTGCGCCTTCTCCTCCTCACAAACCTCCACGTGGACACTAAAATACTTACTGAGTGAGCTCCACAAAGGACAACCTGGGAAGCCAGCCCTCCGTGTAAAGGAGACAAGACTAATATTTTCATCTCAACAAAAAGTAGTCCCACCCCTCCATCAAAAAAAAGAAAAAGAAATAAAGAAAAGAATATCAAGCCAGGTATGGTGGTGTACACTCATAGTCCCAGCTACTCGGGAGGCTGAGGTAGAAAGATGGCTTGAGCCCAGGACTTCCGCCTGGACGATACAGCGAAACCCTGTATCTAATAACTTTTTCATTTTAAAAAACATCAAGAATATCAAAACTCTCCATTTTGTCGAAACAGTAATCACATGGAGAGAGTTCTCTAAACAAAGCATACTTGGTCTACAAAGGCCAGACAAAAGGTGGAAGTTCCTTAATTTTAAAAAGAGGAAAGGTGAAGAGAAAAACTAAGATTTGCTGAGTACCTATCACGTGCCAGGCACCTCATAACCTTACAAAGCCGCCTCATTTGTTCCTCCCAACACACAGCAAGTTAATCCAGTTGTAGTTTAATCACCTGCCCATCATCACACAGCTGGGCTTCAATCTCAGGTTTAATTCCAAAGCATTTCATTAACGTTAATAATAACTATCCAAAACTTGGAAATTAAGACAGTTGGGCAGGATGGGGAGGGGGTGGGAGATAAGGGGGGGCGCATATCCTCTCAATGTCATGTGATAGCATTGCTTTACAAGCCTCCCAAGAATGATTTAACTCTCTAGAAGGGTGTACTTGTGTTTAATTTTGCCATCTGCTGTCTGGAGTCTGCACACTGTGAAATTACATGTTAACTTACATATAACTAACATGTAACTAACATGTTACATGTTAACTTTTTCACCACTAAAAAACTTACAGGTTTCTTAGTGGTGAAAAAAATTACCTCAAAGATGATGATTTTGTTGCTCTGTGAGACAGCAGTTCCCAACCTTTTTGGTACCAGGGACTGGTTTCATGGAAGACAGCTTTTCCACAGATGGGAGAGGGCAGTGAGGAAATGGTTTCAGGATGAAACTGTTCCACCTCAGATCATCAGGCATTAGATTCTCATAAGGGGCGTGCAACCTAGATCCTTCACATAAGCAGTTCCCAGTAGGGTTCGCACTCCTGTGAGAGTCTAATGCCACCGCTGATCTGACAGGAGGTGCAGCTGAGGTGGTAATGCTCGCCTGCCCACCAGCCACTCACTTCCTGCTGTACAGCCCAGTTCCTCACAGGCTACAGACCTCACAGGCACGGGGGACCCCTGCTTTAAGGTATTATCCACCTTTACGCATAATCTAGCAATCTTAATCTAACATTGTTCCTTAAACCTATAAATACTAGTTCCTCAAATACTGTTTGGATCAATTTACCATTTCACTGGTTTCCTAATTGGTGAATGAAATAAAATTTTTGAGATGATCATTTTATATCTTTATGAGAGTCATATTTCCAATTCTGGGAAATTATATTTGGACAATGGATATCACTAACCACTCCTTCCCTGCAAATACAGGGCCTGCAAATACAATTTCCTGCATCCTTGGGAAAAGTGATGTGGGGTCCACATGGAGGATGAAAACACCAAAAGGCCGAGACTGCTCATGCCTCTGTTCCATATCCCTATAGACCAGTGCTTCCTTTTCCTCCTGTCTGTCTAGGTCCCCACACTCAGCTCAAACTCTATCCCTTTTCTGCTGCTGCCTCAGGGAGCTCCTTTTCCTTGTGTGAGATTCCTATCAGGGCCCTTAGGTTTGGCACTGGCTGCTATTCCACAGTCTCCCACCTGGCCCTCGGTAGACACACACATATATTCTTCATGCAGCATGACTAGATATTTCGACCAAAGTCTCTTTGCTTCTTCATTCTCACTATCAATTTCCCAGTGCTCCTCCAGTACTTCCCTTAGCTCCCCAGTACTGGCAGGCTCACCACGTGCTCTCCAGTTACAACAGGCACAGTCAGAGGAGCATTCCAGACTCCTTCTGTTATAAGGAAAGTACGACAGGGGAGCTCACACTGCTGACGAATATAACGTGTTCACAGGAATGTCCTGGTGTTTAGTTGCCTCCTTGAAGGCAGCTGCATTTGCCTGCCCCACTCCCATGCCAGGGGCAGACTTGAAGTGCTACTACTGTCGGGTCTGGCGTGACAAATGTTTTCATTGAACCACACCTGGCTCCTAATCATACACTGCCTCGAAACAGTATCTAACTTTCCCAAGAGCCTATCTTGACTCTCTAGTTAGAGTCAAGGACCATTCCACTCTTTATGAATCTATTTTCTAGCCCAGCACAGTACTCTGTACTTCATGGACTCTTAGCAAATCATGGTTAGCTAACTGGCTGGCTGAGCACCCTTGTCTTGAGGTGGAAGGTCCTTACTCTGAGCAGTTTCATTTTGCACATTAGAAAACGAGCTGATCTGTTAGGTGAAGGATTTCCTAGGTGAGCCGACAGATGTAAGGCCAGCACCCAGGGCCTGCTCCCTGCTGGGAGATCAGCCTGAAACCTACCTCTGCCTCCAGATCATAGAAACTGCCACCCTGAGCATAGAACTAACACAGAGTGAGGGAAGTTGATGGGTGCTACATCACCTACTAACGCTTTTCCAAACAGTTTCTATCTTAACTCGTTAACTTTGTCATATTCTGAGTAGCAAAAATGCATGAAAGTACATTTGAGTGACAGAGCAGGTTCTTGAAGTTCATTTA